CCCCGCCCCTCCCCCGCCCCTCCCCGCCCCCCTCCGAACTATCATGCGCTAGGTTTCCCCTTCCGGCCACAGCCCTCACCACGAGACGCCGAAGACAGTGAACGCTCTCTTGGACGACTGGTTGGAGTACGCCAGCGCGGGAGGATCCCCCCCGCTATCGCGGGACGGGGAGGTTCTGGAGATGCAGGTGTGGGAAGGGAAAAAGAAGGCGGTCTTCGGTCTTACTCCGTTCGTTTCGTGAACCGCATTGTAGGCATCAGCCGAAACTCTCGTTCGAACGAGCAATTGCAGCCTGTGTCGAACTCGATGTCCTCTTATTTGCTGCAGAGTATGGGAATATGCTTGATATTTCCACATGTGTGTTGGAGCTTGCTTATTGGAGAGAGCCTCTGGACCTGATTCCCCCCCGGGCGGTGGCGCACCACGCTCTGGAACAGCTCCGTTTCTCCGCGAGGGAACGTTGGGCACTACCATGGATTTGGTCGATCCTGCTGAGAGCTGGATATACTGCTGTAAGCGTCTGTATCGTTAGGTGGTCAACCTCTCTTCGGCTCCCTCTAGTGTGTACTGCTGCAGGCGTCAATATACGTGTATCTTGATGTAGGCGTTCACCCTTTCTACTGCTTACCCTGTTGCAGCCGTTTTTACCGAGCAATCCTGATGGTTTGTGTTCCCAACCGGGTCACCACGAAAACCGGGGGGACTGTCGCCGTAATAAATAGGACGAAAAGTAAAAGACGTCTTCAAGGATATCTTATCGAATGCGGTCGCAGGAAGAGACCGGGACGCGAGTGCGGGCGACCCTTGTACCAGATGCGAGACCGAGGGGGCCGGTGGAATGGCTGGACACCGCTGTATGGAGTTTCACCGGAGGGGGCGCCGCTAAGGCGAAACGGCCGTGATGCCACCACCACGGGCTCAGTCTTGCCAACGAAATGGCACCACGCGCTGCCGTATTTTGCACCCGATCTGCGACTGGAACGGGCGATCTCGGGGGCCCCGGGGCGGGAATGCAGTTGACGCCCGCTTGGCAAGAAAGAAGTTGGCCCTCGAATCACTGAAAATCTTGGATCTTGAGCACCACTTGTGAGCTCGGTAAAGAACCTCTAACAAGCAATATAGCGGCCATTCGTCGCATAGCCACCGGAACTAAGGACCCCAGCCTCGACCAAAATTAGAGGTTCGTGGGTGCGGAGGCCAATTGTACTCCGTGTCGGCGATTCCCGTAGCGTGCTACCGTAGGCTCTCGCATCCCTACGTCGCGGGGATGGAGCGTGTCGGAATGGTGCTGCAGGCACCAGGGTCGAAAAGGTCGGTGAGGTGCTGCAGCGAAAGTCCCGCGCCCTTTGGTCGCTCCGGCATTACATCACTGTTTCAACCTCAGTGTACAGGCTTAAATAGACGCAAAATACCACAATTCATTGAAAAGACTTCAACCATCCTCTTCGACTACTGTGGTTATATCTGGAATTGGTAGTCTCTCTTTGATTGTATGTATATTTCCTAAACCGACCACTTTTCCAAAGGCGCACCTTATCGCAACAGTGAACGCACTGGGCATAGCAGGATGCTGGCCAGTCTTGGGTGTAACGTACGTTAACCGCCGAGGGTTTTGGAACGGGTGATGGCACATGAGGGTGCGGGGCTCGCAACGGAAGATGCAGATGGATGTCACCGCCGTCTGTTGTGTAGACATCAGCGTTGTTGCATAAAGGTGTTTCCAATGTGTGATATTTGGCAGCACCGCAATGGACAAGGAACCGGAAGCCTCCGAGGTGCAAAAATGGCCGTTACCAACAGCCGTGCGCACAGGGCGGACCAAAAAGGGGCAGGCGGGTACGGTGGTATTTTGAAGGGTCGCCTGCGCGTGGACGCGTGCCTTACACGCCACCGATTCGATGCAGCACACGGTGTGTCTTGATTACCTGGGTTCGCCTTTGGTGGTGCGGAATAGGGCGCTACTCCAAAGAGTGGAGTGGACATGCGTTCGGCGGGATCTTGCTTACTGTCCGCGCAGTCTTATTTCGGGAGTTCTTATCTACGAATCTATCGTGCGCGCGTCGTTTCGTTATGTCTCGGTTGATTCGTGTAGGGCAACAGGGAAAGACTGCTGTAGGCCAGACCGCCTGCTTCCAACTGGCCAAACAAGAAAACTTCATACGTATCGAGAAACACGTCGAAGGAAAAGTTTGAAATCGCTGCCGGAAAGAAGCAACTCGCGTTCCCGTCAAGCATTTCGCACATTCCCGATCGGCACGTTTGACATGTGGACGCCTACCCGTCCATACAACCCACCCTCTAACGGCCAAAGACCAGAAAACCAAACTGCAACACAAAAATACTTAATCGCCCCCCCCCCCTCGGTGTTTGCCATCGGGGTTGGGTTTTCGTCGCTTGGCAACGTTGTAAAACAAGCCACTTCACTTCGTGAACTCGGCAACCAGGTTACCGGTTTTTTTTTTTTACCTCTGTTTATTTTTTGGCGGTTACCATTATGGTGGCCGAGTAGATCATGTTGTGCGGGGTGGAGAATCCTCACTCCGCACAAGGGGGATGATCGCACCACGTTGTGTTAAAATGGCAAACACCCTCGAGGCAGTTACACAGTGCTTCCAACTGTCTCAGGAAGTGAAAGCACCAGAAAATACA